AATGTGTGTAAGCAAAAATCGAAATAGAATTTTTCATTTGCACAATTGTGAATGATCAATAATCACTCGGCTGGGATGGTGCAATGCGTTAGAGCAAAGCAGAGCGAACCGTTGGCACGCATGCAAACGTCAAGTGAAGGCGTATCGTATGTGGCTGAGTGAAAGGGCAATAGTTGATGACGATTTTTGCTTTGAAAGCTACTTCGCAAAATGTGGTGAGAACCAGAGTTGCCGATGGATAAAAAAGGTACGGAGTAAAATGGCTTGCAAAAGTATTCGTTTATGTGAAGCACTAATCGATTTGAATTGAATTAAATAAACGCATGCGTTCAAATTTATACATAAAAAAAAAAAAACAAAATGGTATACGAGCTTTTAGCTAAGAAAAAACCAAAAATGAGGGCCGATTGAAAGTTTTCTGTTGATTTGAACGTCACCAAAATTACTTGGTGCAAGTGAAAAATATAGAAGATATAAGTTGTAAAACTTAAATTTTTAGATTTCTTATAATACATATAGATATCTTATAAATATACATAACCAATTTGAAGAAGTATTGATGGCCATTTTGGGCCTACTTGAGAACAATTTCATGACCATTTAGGGACTAGTAGTTCGCGGTAATTTTTGAACTAGTTCTAGCCCATGCCGAAACTATTTCAGGAACATCTTGTGACTAGTTTGCGATAAAGCCGTACACAAATGTTTACTCATCGAATTTTAGGAGACCAGGTACTCATGCCTTTTTTAATATTTACAAGCCAAAAATACAAAAACTAAAAACAAGTAAAGTCTTTCCATAATGTTTTATTGTTTTTTTTTTTTGGAAAAATTGCACTATTATTACTGCTAGAAACATTTATACATTTATATATATTGTGGTTAATTTTGGAGTACTCCTTGGCCCTTAGGGAGTACTCTTTACATGCATGCATGGAGTAGTCGCGATTTTTGCAGGGGACTCACCAGTTTTTTCATACCGTTTGACCAGACCGACATGCAGCACAAATCTACTACTACAATGACATTGTTGATATACTTTTTCGTTTGTACACGCTTTTGCTCTTCATTTCACAGATGTTTTTTCGCCATTAATAAAAACCAAAAACAAAAATAAAAAATTACATGTTGCCTCTTATGGTATTCGAACCCGAACATGTAGGGAGCTAACTAACAGCGATCATCTCTACACGTTCAGCTACAGCCAGACATGCAAATGTGCTTTCAAATGCTCAACTTCAATCACATTTCGTTAAAACACGAGCTGTGATCGGGGTAACAATAAAATGGTGCAGAGACACGAGTTGGTCCGCTACAGCATGAGAGAGGAGCATTTTTGTAAGTACTCCAATATACCACAAATATAATACATGGTCCAACTATTTTTGCAGGGTATGTATGAATACTAGAGTGCATCACTCACCAAACAAAAAACAAAAACAAAAATTAAAAAGCGGTACTGTTTTTTCATCAAAATTATACAATTTATTATATTATATTTTAAAGTACCCGCCAAAATGTTTGGAAAAATAGTAAGATTTACGTGAGCTAAACCGGTTTGAAAATACCTCCAAGTATCGAGTTTTTTTTTTGTTTTAATAAGACTAGTTTTTAAAATATTTTTTTTCAAAAAATCCCCTCAGCTTATAGAAAATGTAAACTTAAAAGATCTACATCCATAAAAAAGTTTAAAAATTTTATCAATGCATGTAATAAGATTTTTGCATATATTTCCAAGTCGCTCCGCTCACGTAAATTTTAATATTTTTCCGATATATTTTGGCGAAAGTCTTAAAATATATTAAGTGTTATAATTCCAGTGGAAAACCCGCAATTTTTTTTTGTTGGTGAGGCGCCCTAATGAACATATATCTAAATATTTATTACAAGTGGAAGCAACTCGTCTATGCTGGTAGCGGCGACTTTTTGAATCTGTATGTGCATACATACAATACCTGTTATGTTGCGGATATTCGCATTCGCATTCGCAAACGCGGAGATTCCTCATTAATTTTAATATTCGCATCCGCAGTTACAAAAAACGGGGGGAGTTCTTAACAAAATTACAAGAAAATAGAATTTTCTTCGAAATTTCCATCCTTGTAAAATGACAATTTGCCTGTGTAGCCTGTAGCGGTTTTTAAGGAGCGATTTTGCCATGATTATAGATTCCTTGAGTGAAGGCAATTAATAAAACTGAAAGTCCTCTCCACTGGTGGAACATC